AAAGAGAGCAAAAGAGAGAGAAAGGTTTTTTTCCAAGGTCTCTAGCTTTGGGTGGACACCCCTTGCAGACAGTCTCCGTGGCAGGTAGATTCCTAAAGATCATTATGCAGAGAGGAGAGAGGGACTGAAAGAAGCAAAGAGAGAGAGAGAAAAAAAATCCAATGTACAGCCTAAAATCTCAGCATCATCTCTCCAGGCATCTCTTAGTCTGCGAACCTTAGCATCCTGCGATCCTGGGAACTTGGGAGCTGAATTTCTGAGAGCCTGGCTGAGATTTCCTTTCCAAAACATTCAACTTGGCAGCCAGGGCCCCAGATGAGATTATTTCAATAAATCCCCCCTCCCAAATTTGGCAGGCATGAGAAAGCGCAAGTTTACTAATGTGAGATCCTCTCTCCCCCAGTGAGTGATGAGGCTTTTATTCCTAACTAATCACTCCGGCTGCCCTAGGAGAGAAGCTCAGCCTCTGATTTGCCCTGCCGGGGTGGTAGCACATGTCCTGTAATTACCTTGAGCTGGGATTGATTTCCGTCCAGGTTCCACCTCCCCCCTTCAGCCCTTCTGAGATGCTCTCCCCAGAGCACTGTTTTGGGAAATGGGTTTTTGAGAAGGTTGATTATTTGGTGATGCTTGCTGAACCGGAAAAGTGTCAGAACCTCTTTCCCCAACAGCCTTCCCATCAGAATGCATCCCCGCCCTCCCCCAGCCACAACCCATCCACCCTTGCACCTCCTCTGCTAAGGTAGCCACTTACTCACTCACTGTCCCAGGCTTTTCTAATGAAACCATTTAAGGGACAGAGACAAAGACAAGCAGAGGTTGACCCTTCAAGAGTTCAAAGCAGGGACATGAGGATGAAGAGAATGAGGAAAAGCTTAGACCTTCAAAGACCTCAAAGTGGAAGCCAACATATTACACCTCACATCCCAACTCCTATGCCAGCTAGGGCCTTTCTGACACACAGCATTGACATATACTGTATGCCAAGCACTGTGCTAGCCTCAGGCTTAGTCCAGAGCTTGAGAACTTAAAAGCATGAAGCTAGGGTTAGGATTTGACTGTTGTTGATGTCTTCATACCCTCAGCTAATAGTTTTGACCTCCTGTGACAAGCCAAATATTAACTGGGTGTCAAAAGAACACAAAAACTCCCAGGGTGCAGTCTCTGAGTTTCAGGAGCTCCCAAATGGAAGCGCAGCAGATGGATGGGTAAGGACCAAGTAACCTAGAGACGAATGACTGGGTACCAGGACTATTCAAAAGTCTTGATCTGTTAGCAGTTTTAACAGCCCACAAGGCTGGTTCAAAGGTGAATTATTTAAGTCTTTCTCTTAAAGCCATTTCTGACAATGCAGTATGTCCTGGCAATGAAGAGTGAGTGTTAATCTAGATTCTGCTGGGGTTAAGTTGCAGGCCTTTCATGTCTCTGTGCCTCAGTTTCCACATCTGTTAAATGGGAACTAGGAGAGTAGCTATCCCCCGAAGTGGTGCTGAGAAGAAAGGATGTTGCTGGAGATGACAGCACAAGTGAAACGCTCACCTTGGTGCCTGACATTCATTGATTGACACTGCGCCACTGCAGTCATAGTTAGCATGAAGCCCATTAAGTTGTAAGGAGGTGAGGTCTGCCTGCCCAGCCCTACCCGTGACCGAAGGAGGGACTGAGAGGTACACAGAAGAAAGCACTCAGGTCAGCAGTTAACTCCGTGTGTTGAGCTCACCACAGTAGTCCCCACCCATCACCTCCCCTCCCCACCCCCAGCAATTAGCAAACTCTTATTTACTCCACCGCTGACTGGGAGACACAGCTTTGCTGGGTGTGGAGTAACAGACCGCAGGCCTTGCTCATATTGTTGAAAACTGAGATTTTAATTGAATCACTCTTCCTGGCAGTGGACTCACCCCAAGTTTCCCAAATTCTCACAGTAGTGGTTGGAGATGTGGGTGGGAACAGAGGGATGGATGAGGAGAGCCTGAATGTTTGGCAACAGGAGAGCTAGTATCACAGGAAAGTAGCAGATGTCTCTGACTACCTGCAGTCTCTAGGTTGGGAGGAAGAGCTAGGGGATTGCTCCAGACAGTCTAATTTTTAACTGGTTGGTGTAGGATCAAAGGAATTCTAATGTGAAATATGGGTACAGCTTTGCCACTTAAGAACTCATCACAGCCCACACAGGTGGCATGTATTAAATAGGGTCATCTATGTAAACATGATTTAGCACAGTGCCTGGTGCGAGGAAAGCACTTACTCCTCACTTGCTGCCTTCTCTACACCAGATCTCTGTCACCTATATTATTGCACATAATTCCTGCCACACCTCTACCTTCAAATTCATCTTGCATGAACAAACTGAGAGTCAGAAAAACCGAGCATCTTATCTATGGTTGCACAGTCAAGCCAGCATGCAAACACATTTCATTGCATGGCTTTGCCTTCATTATGGCCGGGAAGTAGTTTGAACTAAACTTGGTCCCTCATTTCTGTGCTCCATGGAGAAAATTGGTGTCCCACCTGTTCCTAAAGCTTTCCCTCTTTCTTCCTCCTTTTTAAGTAAGCAAGATGTTTCTCACTTCTGGAGACACACAAAATAAGTCAGCGGAGCCAAAAAGGAAGGATTGGGACATTCACTGGGCCAACAGGAATGAGACAGTGCAAAAGAGACAGCAGTGCAGAAGAAAATGATGAACTTGAGCCCCTGGGGAAAGACAGTGAGAGGAAGGATGGGTGAGCCAGCCTGATAAGGAAGGAGCAGCGTGAAATTAAACTGAGATTTGAGAGATTAAAAAAATTTACCTTCCAAAGAGTGCCATGGATGTGCAGAAAGACAAGGTGAGGAAAGAGATGACAGCTTGAAGCTGCATGCTGCCCAGCAGAAGGGAGCATTCCCACCATTGCCAAGTGAGGATGATAACATCTGTAACATCTGCCTTTGACGGCTGGTGCAAGATGAAGGCAGATGATGAGTCTGCAGCCTGGCAGATAGTAAGTAAGCAAGCCTGAGGCATGGCAGTTACCATTGTTTTTAGCTAGAAGTAGAAAGCTGGTAACCTGTAAGCTGGGCTTAGCCCTGCAGATGTGTTTTCTTTAATGAGAGAAAATGGAGTAAACAGGTTAAAAGGACACACTCTGGAGCTGGACCTCTGGAGTCTGAGTCCTGGCTTTGCTTCTTAAAAGTTATGTGACCTTGGGCAAGTGACTTTAACCAGCCTGTGCCTCAGCTTTCCCATCTTTAAATTGTGGGTGATTTTAAGAATGGTCTACACTTCATAGGTTTGCTGTGAAGATTAGTGGGTTAAGCACTGAACACAATGCCTGGAACACAGTAAGCACTCTATAAGTTATTTTTTCGTCATTTAAAACTTAGGAAAAAATACTAACTCATTTTATGACAGCAGCTTTATCAAAACTGGACAAAGACATTACAAGAAAAGAAAACTACAGCCCAATGTTTCTCGTGGACATAGACACAAAAATCATCAACAAAATACTAGCAAATCTAATCCAGTGATAATAAAGAGGGATAACACATCAAAATCAACTTGAGTTAATCCCAGGAATACAACACTGGTTCAACATGTGAAAAGCACTCACTATAACTCACCATATTAACAAGCTAAAAGAAAAGCCGTAAGATCAATCTCAATAGATGCAGAAAAAGCATTTGACAAAATTCAACATCTATTTGTGATAAAAACTCATCAAACCAGGAACAGAAAAAGAACTTCTTTAACCTGATAAAGGGGATCTATAGGTCACTTACATCTTACAACACAATTAATGATGAAAAACTGAATAATTTTCCCTAAGATCTAGAACAAGGCAAGGATGATTGCTCTCACCACTCCTATTAAACATCATGCTTGAAGTCCTAGCCAGTGCAATAAGGCAAGAAAAAGAAATAAAATGTATACAGAAAGGAAGAAATTAAGTCGTTTCAGTTCACAGCTGACACAATGGCCTTCCTAGAAAATCACAAAGATTCTACACCAAAAAAACTCCTAAGAACTAATAAGTGAGTTTAGCATGTTTGTAGGATACATGGTTAGTATGTAAAAAACCATTGTATTTTT